TCTTTCTCTTCATCTCTCCCCATCGTGTCTTGGCTTTTTGTCTCAACTTTATCTCTTCTCTTAATTTATTCTCTCATTTCTCCCATCATCTCTCCAGTTCTCATCGCTCTTCTCATAATGTCTCCTCTCCTCCATCTCTGTCTCTCCTGGTCTTTTCCAGTACTCTTCTCTGTATCTATCCTCTTATCTTCCGCCACCCCTCTTTTCTCATTGTCTTATGCCCTTGTCTCTCTTATCCTCATCTATTCTCTCCTCAACATGTCTTCTTTTTTTCTTCAGTTTCGCCTCTCTTCTACTTTCCTCAACTTATTTGTTTTGGCATTGTCAAACAGGTGTTGAGTGGAAACATGGGAGGAAAGAAGAAAAGAGGATAAGTAGAGTGGATAAAATATGTGATAAATTATAAGGAAGGGAGGAATGAGGAGAGGAACCGAGTAGAATAGGACAGGAGAGGATAGATGAGAATTTTGTAGTTAACCACAAGACCAAATGAAAGATTTAGAAAATGTCTTTTTCCAAATGTCAAACGTTGCTTTCCCTCTTTTTATTTTTTTCCTCTCAGTATGACTAATGAGGCTTAACGAAAGCAAAACTTCGCCACAAATGACACGTCCTTGCTGAGATTATAATGGCGGTTCCAAATCAAACAAAGCAAAAAGTGTGCAGATAGTATTTGCAGTCTGACTGATTCAGCCTTCAAATGTCTGCTTAAAGATAAAGAATGACATCTATCTCTGCACCGCTGCATCTGACTGAGAGAGACGGAAACAAACACATACAGTCGTGCTCAAAAGTTTACTTACACCTTGCAGAATCGGCAAAATGTTAATTATTTTAACAAAGTAAGAGAGATCATACAAAATGCATCTTGTCTTATTTTTGCACTGTCCTAAATAAGTTATTTTACATAAAAGATGATTACATAGTTCCCAAAATGAATTTATAAAAATGACCCTGTAAAAAAGCTTACATATTTGATTCTTAATACTGTCCTGGATGATCCACTACTGTTTTTTGTTTTGTGATGGTTGTTCATGAGTCTCTTGTTTGTCCTGAACAGTTAAACTGCCCATTTGGTTCAAACATTCACTGATGCTCCAGAAGGACATGATTAAGAGTCGAGGGTTGAAAAACTTTGACAGGATGAAGATGTCAAAAATGTTCTTATTTTGTTCAAATATCAAGTACTGCCCTTCGGAAGCAACAGAAGACTCGTAAATGTTTCCCAGAAGACAAATTAAGTACAATTTACCTTGATCTTCAAATTCAAGAAGTTTTCTCCTGGTCATCCTGGTAAAAGCACATAGTATTAAGAATCAAGAGTATGTAAACTGTTGAACAGGGTGATTTTTATAAATTCAATAAATTTTTCATGAAAGAAGAGGGTGGAAAGAGAGATAGATGAGAGAGGTTGTAAAAGTAGCTCTTCTAGGAGGTGTGTGCAGATGCTTTGACTACTTTCAGCTTTTTAGAGATCAAGAATGAGTCCAATACTACAGAAAGGAGGTGAAGAAAGATACATTTTAAATAAAGGAAAAAAAAATTTGATCAGACATCATACATCGGACACCTCTGTGCTGAGTGAAATCACAGTAACACAAACAGGAATATGTTTTGAAATTGTGATTACTAGATCACAACAAACTCTCTCTTTTCCTCTGCTACAGCCTGAGCTCAGTTTGTCTCTCTCTAACAGTTGTTAACCAGAGAGGAGTGATTATCTAATCAGTGCAATTAGTGGCTAATTCAAGTTGGAAGATTTGCACAAGTTGTTTATTGCAGTGGCTTAACTAAACTTGGGATGCTTTCTCAAAGAAACAAATACAAAACTGGTACAAAACTTAGCAGCATGTCTCCTTTGTGATGCCTCCAAACGCTCACATATCACCCAGTCCTCCGTTCGCTCCTCTGGCCTCCGGTGCGGTTTAGGGGGGAGTATATATGGAGTATCCTGCTGTTCGTTGTTCGCCAAGGCCATCAATGGTATGGCCCCGGCTTACCTCGCAGAACTCTTAACGGTCTACCAACCAGTCAGAACCATGCGCTCCTCTGAATACACCTCTTTGGTGATTCCTAAGTGCAAATATAAGAAGTTTGGAGGTTGGTCATTTGCCGTCCAAGGCCGTGGAACACACTTCAATCTCACCTACAAAGTATTACTACGTTGAGTACTTTTTAATCACAGTTGAAAACACATCTATTTAGACAAGCTTTTAAAACGTAGCTTCCGTCTCGATTCAATTGCTTTTTATGTACACTTATATTTTTTATATATTGGTGTCTATTGATGTTTTATTGGAAAGCACCTTATGCATCCTTTGGGCTGTTGTAATGCGCTCTGTCCCTATTCAGTCCCTGAATATCTCTAAAAAGTTGTCTTTATTAACTTTAACTTATGGAACCTAATTGTAAATTGTTACCAATTTCTGTAGGTTATTTTTTTTTTCATATTGTTTTGTTCTTATTATTTTCTTTTTACTTCTCTTTCCTTGTACTTTACTAGTTTTTTTGCTATATTCGCTGCTGTGTAAACATAACCGGCATCACACTCAATCAGCCTTTCCAGAAAAAAACGATGACCTTAGCTTATAGGTCAGTTTGACTGGTCAAAGTGCTGCCCTTTTTTATTTGGGGTCTCGTCTCTCGTGCAGCTCATATTTGACAGAATTCCTGTGCTTTATCAGCAGGCAGCAAATGCTCAGCAATCCATGTTTTCCTTATCTGTGTTTAAAGAGGATGCTTGTATCGACAAAAACATGCACAAAGTGGTCCTCACATGTGCAACCTGCAGGATCTTTCACATTTGTGTGGTCAAAGGAGCCGGAAGTCATTTGAGGCAACAATAAGCGACTGTTTAATACAAAGTTGAATAACTTTAAAATGTACTTAATGCAGTGCAGTGGCTCTGAAAGTACCACTGTCCAATGGCCATAGTGGTGGGCAAAGTTCCAGAGGCAGACAAAATGCTGGTGAAAAATCAAAAGAGGAGGATCATTACCAAGCCAATTCAATAACTCCTTTCGTGTTCACATACGGCCTACAAATCACCTTGAATGGATCAAACTTTTGAAAATGGATGGACTAATTACAGAGTAAACAACTCAGCCACTGAGATATTCCCACTTTCAGTCACGTCAGAAAAATTGACTTGACTTGACTTGAAACGTGAAATGATCTGTAAGCGAGTCATTTTTCAGTAAGCTCTCAGGTCTTTCAAATTAAAGCTGCACCTCTGTGTCTGCAATCATTTTGATGCGTGAAGTGTTTACAGAGGATTTGTTGACTAATGATCTGAAGAGAAGGTGACTAGACGAAAAACAGTTTAAAGCAACAAATAAAAACTAAATTTATTAAAGATACTGCCAATATAGAAACATATAAAATGTTAAAATATATAAAATGTTTTGAAATTATACATGACAGTGACAGTGACAGTGACAGTGAAAAAATTACACATTTATAATGTTACAAAAAATATAAAAAATTCTGTTTTGAACTGACTATCAAATCCTGAAAAGAGAAAACTACCACAGTTTCAACCAAAATAGCGGCACAACAATAATAAATGTTTCTTAAGCAGCAAGAAAAAAAATTCTAAAGGATCATGTGACACTGAAGTTAGACTTGATTAATGATGCTTTTTTTATCACAGGAATAAATTCACTGACAAAAAAAGAAAGGAAAGTGTGGAACAAGTTCTGTAAAATGTCCGTTATCTTTCAGCTCGCTTTCTGATTGGGTATCGTTTCTTTTCAGGTGACAATCTACAGAGTGTGTGCGCGTTTGTCCTCGCGGTTCACCACACAAAACCAACACATTCTCATCCCAAGATGTCATAACTGACGCTTTTGACCATACGTCAACATCCAACGTTTCAGGGTACCCTTTAACGTCAGTTAGATGATGATCCTAGGGCGTCATCCAACTGACGCTTTACCTTTAGCGTCAGTTAGATGACACGGGTAGGTTTAGGTCTGGGGTAGGGTTAGGATTAGGATTAGATAGCGTCATCTAACTGACGTTAAAGGGTACCCTAAAACGTTGGATGTTGACGTATGGTCAAAAGCGTCAGTTATATGACGTCTTGGGCTGCACAAAACAGGATTTCTGATCATAAATATAACATGTTGGAAATTTACGATTCGAGATTGGTGCGGCCCCAATGTTTTTCTTAGCAGATTCAGACTCGTAACACATCTCACACCACAGAAAAATCTGAACCCTCAAGATAATCGGGACTTTACCTAGGATTGTCGGAAGGGGAGAATTGGGCCCACGATCGGGCTGATTATTTTTTAGTGTGGGTGCCTTAAGACATTTTGTTGGCATAGATAAAGGTAGCGGGGTGAGTCTGGGCAGGTATTACCCTGACAAATGCATTTGTTGGAAGGCAAACGGTTCACCACCCACCCATCTGGTTTGTCAGATCCATAAATCTCTCTCTTACACAACATCCCACCCCACACATATACGTTTTCATCTATTCCTTAAAATACGCACTCAAGGTTAAATAAGCACAATTGTGTTTGCATTACGGGTCATACGCCAAGCTCAGGAACGTTTACTGTTCTAAAAGCTCAAACAGATCTATATAAAAGCAACCAAAAAGGGTCACGGCAGGGCCGGGCGCCAGAACCAAAGCAAACAAAACCTAATTGGTTGTTATCAGATAGATAATGCAACTGAACACTGGAGTCAAAGAAGGCATCCCTGCCTCTTCCCTTTGAACATATTTACCAGCGAGACATGAAGGACATGCCTCACATTTAGTACCCTCTGGCATGAGCTCAAATTGAGCAGTTTTGCGTGTAAGAAGCAGAAGCTCGTACTGGGTCAGTGATTGGTCAACAGCTGTTCTGAGACACACATCACAGAGAGGGAGCTCAAATTATTCATCCGTCCACCAATCACAGCCACAGGTGCACCACGACCAATTAAACGTTGGGAGGAGAGAGAGACAGACATAAAGCACGAGACAGAGTGAGGAAAAACTGAAGAGGACTGATGAGAGAAAGAAGAAAATATACACAAAAATAGACCAAGACAGGAGTCACAAGGTACTAAGGAAGAGAGAGATGTGAGAAAGAGAGAGGGAGTAACAGATAGAGAAGCAGAAAGCATGTGGCGCACAGACAGAGGAGAGGAGAGAGTGAGAGCGCTCTCTCACCTCTTCCCCACAGACAGCAGCTAATGAACTAAGAGAGCGAGAGACGGCACGTATAAAACTAGCGGATACGCTACCTGAGGAAACTTTCTGACACACAAGAGATTCTGTCAGAAAAGATCACTGGGTTGCACACGGGGAAAAAAAATAAAAAGCTCAGCTGGAAGACGTGCTTCTCTCGTGGAGAAAGACGTAAAAACTGAGACAATGGGAGACTGAGAGGGACACTCTTTTGACCTCTGATGCGCTGACACCTTTGGGATGGGAGAGTGCGTTTAATGGATTTCTGACATTTTCCTGTGACAGTTTTCAGGTAAGAACATTTGTCTTTCTATTTACCTGAATGCTTGACTTAACCGTAAGTAAGGCAAATAAAGTAAATGAGGAAAACATAATAAAATAAATGGTCGTGTTCGTGTTAGATTTTACATCTCCGTTTTGGGTGAACCAGAAACATTTGCCTTTTAAATTATGCAAATGACAAACACAATTCATGAATATGAATGAATGCACACTTATCTCCACAGAATTTAGACAGGACTCATGGTGTATCAGTACAAAGCTTTTCTGCTTGAGTGAATTATCACTTTTTTTCTAAATTCGATCACAACTACAAATGAGAATAATAGACATGACCTGAACCAAAACGCTGGGAAAGTGACAAAGAAATTATGATGAAATCCTCAGATTTCTCATATCTGCTATTTTGTTCTTACAATCATTTATAATAACTTTAACTATAACTATATACACACATACATACCTATACACATACCTATATATATATATATATATATATATATATATATATATATATATTTATATATATGAGAGAAAGCATGAATGACAAACTAAAATAATAGAGACAGATTCACATAAGATATTAACGTGAAAAAAGACAAAAGGGACTGAATAAAATGTAAGACAACAACTAAAAGAAACAAAACATCTAAACCAAGTGAAGAGAGACAATAATTATATGGATTAAGAAAAATCCCAGGTGTTTTTTGGGAAAGGTAATTTAAACTAAAGCTGCTATAAAAGGCAACCATCAGTACATTCATAAACAGAAACTGGATGCTGATGATAGATTTGCATTTCTTTTCTGCCTAACAATATTTACATTAAATCCGATTGTAGCGATACTTTTGATTAGTGACTCCTGGTCACCAATGTCCTTTCCTAAATCTAAATCTACATTGAGATTATTCCGACACAATCTCAGTAATTTGTAAGTTTTATATTTTGACGAATTGGTGGCTAATTCGCAGGAATGATCTGCTTAACCCTGCTGATGGTTAGATTTAGAGGCTGACCTTCATGCTGCTTGCTTTTTTTTCTTTCCTAAAAATCACGTTTTTGTATGACTCATCTCATTCAAATTCATACAAACTTGCCGACTCGTAAAATACTTGTTTTCTCATGAGATTGGTTTGGGTCATTCACACTATTCACACACTCAAATGAAGTACATATTGCACACACACTCTAAAAAAATGATGATGGCTTGTTTTAACCCAATTTTGGGTCAAATATGGACAAACCCAGCTGTTCGGTTAAATTTTTAAATTGCATTTTTTAATCCAACTCTTGGGTTTGTCCATATTTGACCAAAAATTGGGTTAACAACCCAGCATTTTTAGAGTGCTCTGATATGAGCATCAGTTAGAAACCATAGCAAATAACACACACACACACACCGTGCCCAACCGTGGGTCCGGTGCCAGATCAATCTTTCCCCTCCGCCCCCCACCGCTGTCACGCTGTTGTTGCTGTGCACACAGCTGGTCAGAAAGACACATTAGGTTGTCGCTTACTCTGGTGACAGACATTCAGTGAAGCGGGTCCAAAAGCACCATGCTGTGTTTTGCTGGATCCAAACAGGTGGCTGTGATGCAGTCCGGGCTGTTTAGCACCTGTTGCTCAGTATGTACGAACAGCCTTCAAAGAAACGCTCTGACAACATGTCACCATTCACACAACTCTAATGCCTCCGCTCGACATCTGGAACATTGATAAAGTCTATTGCACTTGCCCAAACATTCATCCAATGACCCCATCAGCCCTTTAAAGGAAACCTGTGGCTTTTAATTGCATCAGTCTTGTAATGCCCTCGCCCTGAAATGTTATGGTTCTTTATTGTTAAGAAACAACTAAAATCGATCTGGCACTAAAATCCATAGGTTGGTTGCTATGGTACTTTGGACAGCAAGTGGGCAGACTTTTTATTTAATGCCCAACCTAGTCCCATAGCAGCAGCACAACCCCCCAGCCCTTCCATTGTTCAGTGTAATATACACAATTATGCTATATGTCTGAAGAACCTCTTGAGAGCTGCAGGAAGTAGATCAGTATGCTATTTCAGGCCTTTGGTGATGACTGTCAAACACCACTGAAGGTTGAGAACAGATTATCATTACCATATGGTTAAGGGGAAATGCATTGGTTGCATTCAGTATGTAAAAACACACATGAAACTTGCGGAGAGACTGAAGTCAGGAGTGGAATGATTCTTTGGCTGATTTTTCTTAGAACAATTTGGTCACTCCTGTCAAACACTGTGCAATACTCAAAGTGGATTCCTAACAATTATATTGGGGTAACTCCCTTTTAAATTGTGTCTTGCTCAGCTCATAATTTGAAGTAGGCAAGCTACATTTTGCAGCATGTTTTTATAATTAATATTACTTGTATCCAGTGATGTAATTTATAACTTAATAAAATCTGTATTTTTCAGACTGATCTCATGAAATGGCGCATGTTTGACACGCCAATTCGTATTTCCATTTTTGGCGTGCTATCAACGCGCATAATCGCTTTTCAGCGTGTTTATGAACGCCGTTGATTTAACGTTACATTACTATATATAAACATATGACATTCCCCAACCCCATCCCTAAACATACCCATCACTGGGGTTAATACCATTTATGAGTTTTCCCCTACCATCCTAGGAAAAAAATATTGCTCCCCAAATCTACATTATGCTTCGTTTCGCTCGGACATTTAACGGCGTGTACATACACAGGGAATCACTTGGACATTTAACGGAATACACATACATACACAGATAACACGCCACTTGATTTTTGTATAATTCAAAATGAATTTGAATGAATGAATGACTGACTGAATCTCAATTAGGGTAACAATGTCAAACTTGAACAGATGAATATATAGAGAGTCGTATCAGTGAATAATTTTTGGAATCTGTTGATTCAATAGATTGAATCAGACTTTCCGGTTCTACATACGACAGACGATCATTTATACAATGATTAACTCTAGTGAATTCCAGCGCTACATATGAGAGAGAGAGAGAGAGAGAGAGGCAAGTTTGATTATTCCCTCAGTTTACACAAATTAGTACAGGCATTGAGTGGGTGAGTTTAAACTCGTGCCTGGGTGCTTCTTCTGAACTTACTTAGAGATAAAACAGAGCTGAATCTAAATCCCGGTTAAAAGGGCAACCCATATTGTTGGATGCCAGGTCTGTAAATCCATTGAGAAGCTGAGATCAAGCAGGAAAAGGTCAATCATATCTTGTACTTATATAAGCCACTTGGCTCCGTCTGGCACAAAGCCGATGGGGATGTAAATACCTGGCGCTGGGCAACATTGAAGCTTGGGTATTTCTGACCATGGAGAAGAGAGTCTGATGTGAGTGTTTGAGTGTGATAGAGGTAAGTTCACTCCTTGAAGAGCCATCAAGGCAGATGGTCCTTAGATCACAGCAGGGGCACTCTCATGGCGTTAGGCTTGGTCGTGACGAAAAATAGGATCGAGAGAAAAAGATAATAACCAGATGGGTTAAAGAAACAGAAGAAATTCATCAATAATGATCCACTTCATGTTTTACTATGCTTTATATGTTCAAAGACTTCCATTTATACTGAAAAACCGCAAGCTTGCTATTCAATTCAATTCACAATTATTTGAAAAGCGCTTTTTACAGTTCACTTCATTTCAAAGCAGCTTTAAAGAAAATGCATGTGTCTACATTATAATTTAGAGTGAGCTGTTATAATTTTTTTAAGCAACATGTCCCCCAACCCTCCCAAAAACAATTCAGTAATTGACTTTTTATAAGCTATTAAAATATGATCTTATCAAATGAATTAGCCACTATGATCCAGAGCCCTTTGTTCCTCAGACTGATTCCAGCCCATATTATGTCTAATCTCCATCTGCCATCGGAATAATTATTTCACTTTAAAATTGCTTCGTCCCATCATTTCTTTTCTTTTTCTTTTTCTCCATCTCAGACTTTCTAATTGACAGTCCGAGGGCAATGTTTAATAGAGTGTGACCTCACGTTAATCGCAGCTGTACTGGGTCCACCGAACCGTTGAGTTTATTCACAGCTCTAATGATATTACGAAATGTCCCTAACTGCTATAGAGGAGATATCTGTTAACTTTTGTGAAAAGGTTCACAAAATATACAGCGTGGGCTATCTCCGTAATGCCGCACCCTTCAGCACAGCAAAACCTATTTTGAATTGTTCAGAATTGTTTGATTGTGTGTTGAATGCTAATTGACCAAACGAGAGAGTGAGATTGTGAGAGGGACTCTAGATAAGCCGGCAGATGATCGACTTAAAACATGAAAATCAATTATCAAGATCTCACAGCAACTCGTGAGGCAAATATGGTGGATGGAGTGCATTTGACAGTTTTTGTTCATATATCTGTCAGCTTGAAATGAGTTGAAACTGAAATCTTATCACAATCTGTCTTGGATGACGCCATTTAACTGAGTGAATGCCCATCAACAGCTTTTGTCGATTACATCAGATGCATGTTAAATTAACCCATGACATTTCACAGTGATTAGCTCATTATTGGCCTAATGTAGAGAGACCCCGCAAATTCCCAGCTGTATACACCTTATTCATGTAAGATGTCAATTGGTTATAAGCCATGAACACACATACACATATGGATTACAGTGTTAGCACAGCTGAGAAAACTTTAAAAAATCCATGTAAGAGAAAGACAGGATTTCATTCGCTACCCTCTAATGCTAATGCTGCTATATGTAATACCTAATCATTATGTTTTATCAATTGTTAAGGCTACCATTTCAATGGGCTCAGTGCTAGAAATAGGCCGGTAAGCATGGCCTATCCCTAGCTGGTATGCTACACCATTAAGATGTGGTCACATTAGCCAAACTTTGGATACAATTTTGAGGACAAAAAAATATCCAAATGTCACATGGCACCAGACTAACTTGAACACAAGCAAAATCTGTGAGCGAAAATGTTTCGCCCTTGCTTCTGCACCTTTATGGGCGAAAAAATAACTTTATTGGGAAATAATTGGCTAATAAATATGGCTCAGCTGAATGTCTAAAACCTTTGACAAATATGTGTCTGCCAAAAAGTACCATTGAGATGAATGCTCATGCTAACAGAGAGCCTATAACTGTCTTCAGATATTATAGATTCATTTGCTCAAAGCTACCTTTAATAAACTAAAAAATGTAATTCAAAGTGAAAAATGTTTAAATGAAGATTATTTTCACAACCTACAAACACAACGTTGTGTTTTCATGTTTCATGGGGACTTTTCATAGACATAAGGTTGTTTTATACTATACAAACTGTGTATTCCCTCCCCGAACCCTAACCCTACCCATCACAGAAAACATTCTTTTTACATTTTCAAAAAGCATGACTTAGTAAGCTGTTTTCCTCATGGGGACATTTTGGTTTACCAGGACACTTACACGCAGGCACACACACACACACACACACACGCACAGTCAGTTAAAAAACTGTAGCCATTTGCTACCTTGTGTCCTGATCCTCTTGTTTTCACACTTTCCCTTCACGCAAAAAACACATGCTTTAATACGCCATCCCTTCCCTTAACACAGATCATTTCCTCGCCTCCCTCTGAAGCTTTTATTGTCGCGGTGAATATCTCAACATTTATCTCTCTCTTGCTCCCTCAATGTTTTCCTGTGGAGCCTCATGGCTATAAATCTTCAAAAAGACATCCAGCCACACAAAGGAAATGCCACAGGCCATCACCTGATCGGCCGCCTCTCAAGACGTCTCATGAATCAAACCATTTAAGGGTGAAAAACACTTTCTGTCAAGATTTTTCCTGAACCGTGACATAAAAAGATGACCTGCCCAAATAGAGAGGCATTGACAGGCGAGATGCCTCAGGTTCAGTGTCTTTTTTTTCTCTCTCTGCTGAAATTCAAAAATAATTAAAACAATAAAAGACACTTTGCATCAATAATAAGGCAGCACTACTATGCAAACATTATTATTGGACTGAATGATCACAATGACAGCACAAAAGTTTTTGAACACCTACGAAAAGACTGGTGCTCTCTGATTAGCTTAGAAAAAATAACTATAATAAAGAGAGAGGAAAGGCAGTAATTACCTTGATCACTCTTCATTGTTCTCATTGGAGGAATGCAACAGCTCTGAAATTTCTTGTCTATAGTTAAAACCGGCTGCCATCGCTGGTGACAGAACCTTCTTGGAGGTGAGGACAATATCTCAATACTAAAAGACACGTTTAATTAGGCATAACTGAGAAAGGGAAATCAGTAATGGTTCGGAAGACCAAAACAATAGGAAGAGAGAAATTAATCCAACACACGGCCATAAATACACACTTCCCCAACAGAAAACATTATGTATAGGACGTCCCTGAATATCTAATGTTTGGGTTGTACGCAAAGTGTGGGACAGAGCTAAATATCACCATTTTGGTCATAAAAATAAGTGAATTAATTTATATAATTCACTTACTATAATTAAATATTATGGACAGACAGGATTGGATACAGAAATGTGATAAGTTTAACACATGATAGTTCTCATAATATTATTATCTTAAACAGAGTTTGCAATTCCAATGCTCTTAAGAGAAGTCATACGGTAACACTTTATTTTAAGGTGTCATTGTTAGTCTAATTATATATTTAAGTACTGAGTAATATTAATTAACACCATGTGGGTAGGATTAGGATTAGGTCAAGGGTTAGTTGCTTTAATTAACTTACTGTTATTACTATGTAACATATGTAACAAGGACACTGTAAAATAAAGTGTTACCAAATGTACATTGTAATAAAATTTGCTGCTTTAAGATTTTAAGTACAATCAATTTAAGTTGAATCCTGTATAACTTGTAAACATTTTTGAATTTTGCTTAACTTATTTGGATGAGTTAAATGCTGTCATACCTTATTGATCATATTATATTTTTACATTGTACTGTGCTCTTAAAGTGCAGAACACAAACATTCTCAGAAGGTTAGAAGCCTCTAAATGGCGCTTCTGCTGAGACTAATTCTTAAATCTTTCCACCTGTAATGAAACAACCTTTCTGTATGAACTTAATCCCAATAGAGTGTCTCATATTGGCCTCATATGTGGAAAATCAAACAGTTCATGCTTAAAGGTGGAACGAAATGAGATGCAACCTTCCGAGTCCTTCTGCTCTAGGGCGGACGTCAATGTGACATTGGCATTTTAAACTTTCTAATGAAATTATTCTAGGTCTCCTCTGGCAACTAGACAGATGGAAGCTATTTGTGCTTTGACGACTCTCTGGAAGAGACGTTCTGGGACAGGGATGAGATGCCTGTCACTGGTTTTGTTATCCGTGTGCCTTGTCTGAAACGTTCCGGTCCGACAGACTTGCACCAGGGTGTGTTAGTGACTTTTTCTTCTTTCCCCTGCTGTTCCCATTACCCAGGGATGTCATAGGATGACATTTACAGGCAGAACGCAAGGTACGGGAGGCATGAGGATAGATTACCAGATTGACAACTGCCAGTGGCACGCTGTGTTTGTTTACCTTACTTTGGGTGATTAAAGAGTCATCACACAGTGTTTTTTTAGATTTCTGTTAATACCCGCACAATGCAGGGATACATAATCCATGCAGTGAGAAAACTGTGTGGCGCATGGACACAAGCTGGACAGCATATTAATCTGACACTTCTACAAATCAACTGACAGTTAAAGCAAAAACGTCTCAGACACTGCGTCGAATAAACATTTGGGGAACGCCTCAGGCTGAAATCTAAAATCACCATCAAATTACGGCAATCACATTGAGAATTAAATTATGTCGAATTAAATTACACAAGGAATGTTGTTTTGCTCGCCATTCAGTGAAAAAAAGTCAGAATTGATTTCTGACTTTTGTTTATATTTCACAATTCTGATTTAATTTCTCAGAATTGTGACTTTATTTCTCAGAATTGCAACTTTATTTCTCAGAATTGTAACATTATTTCTCAGAATTTCAACATTATTTCTTAGAATTGTGACTTTATAAGAATTCTGACTTCATTTCTCACAGTTTCGAAGTTGCATAACAGAAACTTGCAATTGAAAGCCATGAAGTCTGAATTTTGAGATTTTGTGAATTTTATGAAAAGAAGAAAAAAAGTCTGTTTTTTTTATTGTTCTGTGGTGGAAACAATGTTTCACAAATTGTTTTCAGAAAACTTTAAATGAAAACTAAATGAATATCGACTATTATTGATCTGGGGTAGCCTAAACTAAAACATCTTCCACCATTTCTCATAAAATTCAATTGTATTAATATAAAATATATATTAACTACCTATATGTGGTATAATTAAAATCCTCTAATATTTCTATAAATATCTCACGAAATTCAAATGTAATAATTTAAAAAACTGCATTCATTTCTTCCAGTTTCATTCAATTTAATTCTACTTCGTTGATTTCAAATTAGAATTAGAAAACATGTTTAGAGACTGAATTGGAATTTAAAAGGCGTTCTCAATTTAGCCCTCAATGGCACACAACCCCCTCTAACTAGCACAACAAGACCCCTACGAGAAGAAGCAAGAAATGAAAACATTGACCTGAGAGGAGACTTCCCTAATTGAACATTTCCATTAGTTACCAAAGGGTGATGCAAACTGGAACGGTTTGATTGGGTTTTTATTTATGTACATGCTCACAAGTGCCTCCCATCTTTATTGTGGTACACACACACACACATACACACTGGAGGTTGTCATAGCAACCTTCACCTGTTGTTGCGAGAGGGGAGAATTTCAAACAGTCCGTTATCACAGAAGCAGAGCATCCTCTGATCCCATACTCCAACGTGTCTAACAGGGAATAAAGAAACCCAGAAAAATAACACGATGACAGCCAATTCCATGAAAAGTCTTTTTTTTTTTTTTTTAACTTTATTTAAATTGACCCAAAATTTTAATTAATGATATATAGTATGACTTTGCACCTTTAAATTCAAATTCCAGAATGACACAATGATATAATCAGCTATTAAGCCTGCAGTTAGGGACCAGACCAGAAAACGAGATACTGTGAGGTACGATAACAACCCCAAATTAGTTTTGGCACATTTTATTTTGCGTCTTCACCAATCTTCGGTAATTCCAGGGTGTCAAACTCCATCTTGCGTTCCTTTTTAACTTGATTAACACATCTACGCCATGTGCATTGCTGATGATGCCTATATAAAGCATACAAGAAAAATTTAATTATCACATTTCTTCTCCTTCAACTCTTATCAGATCACATGAATGAAGCGTTAACTCTATCAACATGGCCGCTGTGTACCTTTACGGAGAGAAACGACACTTCCAGAATGTGATTAGAAGCCTCTCAGACGCAAGACATGTCTACAAACTACACAGTCCCCAAAAGACCTGTCTGTTTATGACGGTTTCAAGGTAAGAACTAGAATGAAAGCGAACTAGGCGAAGCCAACACAATACAAATTTACAGCATAAAATTACAATACTGTGTTTGCAAAACGATGACAAATGGAGAGGGAGTGTGTTACTGTCGAAAAATAAGAAGACATATGACAGCATCTCCAAGCACTCTGCATATAAATGACTGTGAAATGAGGCCGCTTGTTCATATTTACGGCTTCATCTTGTCATAATTCCTCTCCTCGTAACATATGGGCAGAGCGCGAACACGTATTAGCATACATTAGACACACAAAATCCCATTCATCTCGACAAACGGGCCCCACTGTGTCAATCTTTCCCTCTTGCAGATGTTGAATCCGGGTTGGCGGCTGAACTTTGGGGCACCATGGCCAATGTGACACCCAGTATAGATCCAGCGGTGGCCCTCGAGGGGTACAACTACTTCGCGTTGATATGCGGCGTGCCTCTCATCCTCATCATCATCTTGGGGAACATCCTAGTGTGTCTCAGTGTGTTGACTGAACGCTCCCTCAAAACCGCAACTAACTACTTTATCGTCAGTCTGGCCGTGGCCGACCTCCTGCTGGCCGTGCTGGTCCTCCCGCTCTACGTCTACTCTGAGGTGAGTGCCGATGACAGACGGTAGACGGTCTAAACCCCTCCTCTATATCTCAGACTACTTATGCTTTTATCCATGTGTACTTCACTACACTTATTAAGTCTGGAGAAATTGGGATAAAATGTCTCGCTCAAGGCAAATTGCGTGTTATGGAGTGTATTGTCCCCCAATCATCTGTTCTTTTTTTATAATCAATGTTGAAAAGCTGTCAGTGGAAGACACTGGTACATTAAGCATTGAGTACTACAGGGTTTCAGTCAAGTCAATCATGTGATTATGAACTTGTAATGATTGCTTGGTGAAGTGTCACTAGTGGACAAGTGGAAGGTTTAGGCTGAATAAGAATTAAATCAATAAATTAGTCACTCAAATATTTACATTTTATCAAACAACCAGACTTATTCTCTAACATAAACGACCAGACTTATTCTCTAACATAATAACTGAAACTGAAAACGAGCTGTTGAACTCAGGGACGTGAGCTCAGCAATGTTCAAATGAACCCTACGGCTCTGGCGATGGTTCACAGATCATCTGTTGTAGTAGCGGCCTTTGCTTTGTTTCACTTGAAACGGGCCCCGCAACAGAAGGGGCCTCCGCTTACTCTTGAAAAAAAGCCCCACCCCCCACCATCATGCAGCGGAAATTAACTAGGGCTTGGGGCAAAAATGCCATCAAAATTAATAAAAATGCTTCCAAAAACCATACGGTGCAAAAAAAGTCTTCAAGTTCTTGTTTTTAATATTTATCAGCATCAGCATATTTTTTATAGCTAAGTTTGCAAATGTGATATTGATTTTATACAACAAATTCAGTAAACAACAAGTTTATATTCTATTAGGTGACTTACGTTTTAGACACAATATTGTCTGTTTTCCCTCTATTTTGTCAACAAATCGACGACTCACACAGGCTGAATCTGAAATCACCCCCTAAACCCTCAATCCCTATTCCCTACATTAGTGTTCACTAATAGGCTACAGTTCACTTGAAGAGGAGAATGAAAATGAAGTAGCAAATTCGGGCGGTCGTTGAGTGTATATTGGGTGTACAATGTGGGATTGGAAGAGTGCACTCAATAAGGTCCATGATTTTAGACACCACTACAAATAGATGTCCCCTTGAAAAATGATTTTGGATTTAGCCTCAGTCACTTCTGCTTTGTCCCTGAATGAATCATCTGTTTTGAACCAATCATTTGACTGAATGATTCAGTGACCTGATTGTTCTCCGACTGTTTTTTTTTAAACGGGCTTCCGAATCGCAAAGGCTGTTTCTGATATGTCGTTAGATTTCAACTTTCTGATTATCCAACACATTCTCATCCTTTGGCGTCATATACAGTAGGTGACGCCATATGACATTTCGTCGAAATACTACGCAGATGGCACCCTTTAGCGTCAATATAACACGCACTGTTATGGGTAGGTTTAGGTCTGGGGTAGGGTCTGTGTCTCATATTGACGCTAAAGGATGCCAGTCACCTTTATGACGCCTTGGGTTCTGCGTGTTATATTGACGCTAAAGGGTGCCGTCATGTGCGTAGTATTTCGATGAAATGTCAAATGGCGTCATTGGTATAGATCTCATCTGAACTGCATCCTGTTTTACTTACTTAATTTATTGAGTAAACTAATGTATGCCATCATGCAATCATTTTGGCTGTGAAACAGGGATGACAGGTTTGCATGGATGAGGTTAAAAACTAGGGACATTTATTGAGAAGTACAGGGTCAGTTTTCTTTTCTTGCTGACTTGATGCTATACGGTGTACATTTTGTACTTCAGGAAAAAAGATTTCTAACATCTGAATTGCTACCTTTGAGGTTTGTGTGTCTGTGAAGTGAATATTGATGCAGTGAATGATTTCCCTTAGAGACTTCTTCTCTTTATCGTATGGTTAGTGAGTGAATCCACTATGGATTTGGTTAATGCTTTGAATGAATTCAAACTTGAATTGCAGTCAATCAAGACCAGAGTGAAAAAGACCATTTTCTTCCATATGATCCCTAAAGACTAGCTAATGTGACCTTGAATCTGACTTTATTGAATAGCTCATTGAATTTTGTTGAAAATTTTAAAAAACTATCTTGAATATTACTGTATAATATTCATATTTTTATATTGAATTATTATTTATAATAAACATAACTGTAAATGTGAAATAGCCAAAGGCTACTTTCTATAGTCCCTGTACATTATGTTAGAGTCACTCTAAAAATCAAATTGAAAATTGAAATGACCAAATTATTAAAATTGTGTTATAAACATGCAAGAAATAAAAGAGAAAATGCAGAATGCTCTTTAATATCCAACTGTATTTTGTGCCAATACTTAAAATAAATAAATAAATAATTATTTTTAAAAACTAATTTAAGAAAATCACGTTTTGATTAAAAATGTATTCTTTTCCATTTAGCATGCATGCAGTTGACGGCCCTGACAGGTATGGATGAGTGTGTGTGTCCTGTTGTCTTACACAGTATCTCTTCTCTGTCTATGCTTGTGTGTGTGTGGCTGTGTTTTAGTTCCTGGGAGGCATTTGGACACTGAGTATGTACATCTGTGATGCCCTAATGACCATGGACGTGATGCTCTGCACTGCTTCCATTTTGAATCTATGTGCAATTAGTGTGGACAGGTGAGAGACGCAGCCCACACACACTCACACACCTGCTCACGAATAGTAAAAATAGCACAAACTTTGACTCGTGCTTGCTTGAAATGAGACCCAGTTCCCACTGCAGCATTACAAATGCATTTGCAGCATGTACGCAAGCTGTAGAAATTATAAAAATATATAGAATGAACAGGGTAAAAAATTATTTGGAAGTAGTTGGAATTGTTTTTGTCAATAAATACAACAAATATAAAGAGTGGCACATAAAAGAGTAATAAGCATATTATGGGTATAAATTGAACAAGCAACACTTCACTTTTTATCTTTCTACATGTTACCTTTATGGAAGCCCATTTCATCCATATTCAAAAAGTTATGCTTTGACATCAAATGTTGGATTTATGAAAAAAAATGTTGAAAATATGAGATAAAAAGTCATAAATGTGGCGTAAAAAGGTTATAATTATGACAAAAAAATATGACGTGAAAAATCGAGATAAAGTAAAAAAAAAAATTCAAAAACAATTATTACACTAAAGTAAAAATTGAGACATAATTATGACGAGGCATTGCACAACTTAAAACTTTTATCTCATAATTTTGACTTTTTATGTCACAATTGCGATTTATCAAAGCGTGATTATTTTTGTATGTGGCGGAAATACCCACAACATCACATAAAAGATTTTAACAAAAGAATAGTTTGCTCATTCAGATTATCTACTCATCTCTTGCGGTGGTCCCTAATCTTTCAGATGGATTTGTAATGATTTTTTTAACATTCAGCAGGTCTGTTCTGTGCACTCACACACTGAATCTTAACTCGGTGGTTATGTGTGTTGGGTGTCCAGGGATGCTAATGAAACCACTGAATTTCAAATGAATTTCATTACTTACACAGCGCATCAAGCATCACTGTTTCACATTAACAATATGAAACAGCTTCAAGAGGTCCCAGACCAAGGCAAAACAGGATCACTCCGTCTTTGACGCATAGGCTTCTAAAACAAAACCGAGCTTGTCTCTGAAGATGAAAACAAAGGTTTGGGTCGAAAGGATGTAGATGACTGAAAAGATGAATCAGACTTATGAGGTCTCCAGCTATTTAAATTGATTACACTAGAATCTTCCACTGTCTCAGCGGGTTTTTGTGATTAACGAAGACGAACACAAAACATGCTTTATGGAGCCGTCAATCATGATTTTACGCTTAAAAATAAGCTATTAGAAGCAAGCTAATGTAACTGCGGTAAAAGCAGACATATAAATGCAGAAAAGTAATGTCTGCTTGAATGTTTTATCAATCTTAACTCACTCTGTGTCCAATATGAACTTTATCTAGAATTCTGTTTTAAGGGATTGAAAAATTAAATTACTATTTTTGTTCATACAATGAATGTTAATGGGGACCAAAACAACACTGGATATTATTCAACATTAGCATTATTCAAAATATCTTTTTCTGTTTCTCAAATAATAACATGTATACAGGTTTTGAACCTTCATCTTATCAACGAATGAAGCCTGAAGTATTCTTTCCATTTCCGTGTAACGCATGACGTAATTTACGTCAATCAGCAAAGTCCTCTGATGTCAACAATACAAGAGATTTGAGTGTTTAAAACAAAAGTCTACTATGTAGTGCATGGACCAAATGTGACTGGCTTCTCAAATGTGCACTATATGAAGTTGAACGTAAAAAGCGAAGTATATCCGGGCCTTAAACCTTCTCTACATCTCTATTGCAGGTACATTGCAGTGGTGGTCCCTCTGAAGTACAACAGAAACCAGTTTAGTGTTCGACAGTTGGTCTTGATCACAGCCACCTGGGTGCTTTCCTTTGGCGTAGCCAGTCCTGTCATATTCGGCTTGAACCAGGTTCCCAACAGGAATCCTCAAGTGTGTAAGCTGGAGGACAACCAGTTTGTGGTCTACTCCTCCATCTGCTCCTTCTTCGTCCCCTGCCCTGTCATGCTCCTCTTGTACTACTGGATGTTCAGAGGACTAAAGCGATGGAGCTCTGGTCGTAGCCGCTCGCACCTCCACCGGGCACCCAGAGGGCGTAGGAGCCTGTCTTTGCGTCTGGGAGCAGCTCTACAGAAGGAGAAGGGACGGGCGAGGGAGAAGGTGGTGTACCTCATGCCTGCAGGTCTCAGTCCGACATCTCTCACCGCTACCCCGACTACTCCTGCTTCCTCAGCCAGTCCGGTTACCATTACCACAGACGAGCTGGCAGAAGGTCAGATGCCGGCAGCAGAGAGTGACCCCATGACCACTCAGATGGACAGTGTCTCGGACGCAGAGAACCCTGATCGGGCCACTGAGGATGGGAGCGGCCGGGAGAACGGTGTGGGGAAGAACCATCGGTCTCATGCGGGACGCCGCCACAGCAAGAGCAACAGGGTGAGCGGACGGGAGCGGAAGGCAATGAAGGTGCTGCCCGTGGTTGTGGGTGAGTATCAATTCAGATCAAACTTTTGAAATCACCTATTCCACACTAGACCAAGAGATCATCATTTACACACACACACACACACACACACACACACACACACACAAACACACATACATATATATATATATATATACATATATACAGTATATTAATAATGTAGGATATCTGGACAGTCTCACATGACATTACCATTCTAAGTTTGGGGAAAAGCTTTTAACATTTGACTCGTGATTAGTAACTCACCAGCAGGCGCCAAAAAGTCTGTTCCTAATGGCATTCATTGACACTTTCATTGCGAACTTGAGTTAAAACAAAAACACCCATAACCCCCCCCCCTTCTGTACACCACACACACACACATACACAGACTTTTCATGAACTTCATATAAAGACATTATAAGATATATTTGATTTGTTGTTATGTTAGCCATGTCCTATCGGGGTACATTTTATTTTATAGTGATTTTATAATAGTATTAAATTAGGAATAAGTGGTGACGTGGATTTACTTATTGTAGAGTCAACAAAAGTTATCATGAGCATTGTAATGTTCATCATAAGCATTGTAAAGCAGATGTCTTAACAAATGTCGACCGGGAATTTTTTTTACGAGCAGTTCATTCATACCTATGCAAGATCGCTGTGAAAATACAGACCGGAAGTCAAAGACAACGAGCGCAGCACTGAAAAGGGGCGGGGCTACATAAGGTCTATACTTTATTAGATTTAGCCTTTTTTTTATTTGTCTCATGCACAATGGAACTGTCCCTTTAAGATACCTCTAATGGCGCTTTTCCACTGCATAGTACGGTACGGTTCGGCTCAGTACGCTTCGACTCGGCGCGGAACAGTTCGGATCGCTTTTCGTTTCCACTGCAGTAGTACCCCTTCAAAGTGTGTGGGACTGATCGTTATTTGCGCGCGCCTCTACTGCCATGACATCATCTTAAAAGCGCCACATTTTCAAACCCACAACACAGGAACAATGGAGACTATCGAGGGGATGGTGTTCCTGATTCTCGGTATGTGGTTGTTTTTAACTGCTAGACAGAAAAATGTGTTTAAAATGAGGCTGATGGCAGCAAAACAAAAATCCTGCTAAAAAGTGTCTCGTATCTCGTGTCGCAAATCCAATGACGCTAGTAGTGACGCTGGTAGTGACGATTCTGTCTGACCAATCAGTGATCTGCAGTGTTTCACGTCACATTTTAGTACCGGTACGGTACGCTTGGAACCTCAACAGATCAGGTACCATTTAAAGCGACCTGAAGCGAACCGTACTGTACCGTACCATGCAGTGGAAAAGCACCACAAGTGAGACGTACCGAACCGAACCGTACCGTACTATGCAGTGGAAAAGCGCCATAAGGCAGGGGTGTCTAAACTCTGCCCTTGAAAGAAAACTATCAAGCTCCAACTTGCCTCAACACATCTGCCTGGACATTTCTACCATGTGAGACCTTGATTTGCTGGTTCAGATGTGTTTAATTGAGGTTGGAGCTGAACTTTGCAGGACAGTGGCACTCCAGGAGCAGGATTGCGTGTCTTTAGGGAACTCCAGCTTCCAAAACAAATGCTGCTGGTCTTTTCAAACACTTCAACCAAAACTATGCAGGTATACATCAATGAACACAATGTGTGTTTGAATGTTCATTTATGTGAAAAATATTTAATGAAGTCATGAATAAATGCATGAGCAGAAACGAAACCCATGGGGTGGCCAAGTATGATGAGAACACTCCTGGAATGACAAGCTCGACAATGTATAAAAACTTTCTATAGCTCAGTGTGACACCAGCTGCTCTTGGATTATTAACAGTGCAATTGCTTTTCTAACACAAGTCCTGTCCTGTAAAATATAAAATATATAAGGCTGTTTCCAAGGCAATGAAAGCAGTGTGAAAGCAGATTCTGATTGTGACCATATGTTCACCATTATTGTTCTCCTCACAATATATACAGATTGAAAACAAACGTGGTGTTAGGTCAGCTTGCAGCAATATAAATAAATAAAAATAATACAAAAACAGAATAAAAAGGTAACCGACACACCAAGGCGCCCAGAGAAAACTAAATAGACACATTAGGCTTCGGTCACTCTTTTTGCTGCCTGAAGCCTGTTCAATCATGTACCAATGTTAGAATATACATAAACTCCCAATTTCAAACTGATCTCCTCCTCCTCAGGTGTTTTTCTGGCCTGCTGGACTCCTTTCTTTGTGGTCCATGTGACTAAGGCGCTGTGTGAGTCATGTGACATTGGGCCAACGCTGATCAGTGTGGTCACATGGCTTGGTTATGTGAACAGTGCCGTCAACCCCATCATCTACACTGCCTTCAACGTGGAGTTCAGGAAGGTCTTTCAAAAACTGCTCTTCTGTCGCTCCTGAGACCGAACGCATTTTGTAGTGCAAGGCTAAATCCATGATGATATTAAATCACTCAAACAATGATGATTAAAAAAAAATACCAGGATGATCTGAGGACAAGCGAATGAATGCTAAAAGGAATTTGAACGTTACAATGGATTACCGAAAGGAACGAATGGACATAGACCGGAATGTACCTGGAATGAGGAAAACTTGTGTTGCCTTAGTTAACCGAACATTTATGTTCTTGTAAAATGATTGCTTGAACACTATACAGTAGATAACAGAATACTGTTGATTTCATAGCCCAGAGGCATAAAATATGTGAAAACGTCCACACTGAAGATAGCAGTGTGTTTAATTTATTGGTATCTGTGTTGATTTAAATGGATTCTCTAAGGTTTTTTTTGTTTTGAAAATATATGCAGATTGAACAGGCAGCATTTTTCATAATTTAAAGGGATAGTTCACTTTGAAATTAATTTTGGATATGTTTTAGCTTACCTGAAGGGCATCCAAGATGTAGGCGTCTTTGTTTCCACACTATTTTCAATTTTGATATTTTTAGGTCAAACCGTTCTTGTGTGTCAGTAATATAATGGAGGTTTATGGGGTCCTCCTCAAAGAGCATGCACAGAGAAGTCCAAAATAATCATGATTTAATGACTCGTAAATGTAAGTACACACTGATGGCCTAAGACATGAAACGAGCAGTTTGTGTGAGAAAACTAACGGTATTTATATCGTTTTCACCTCTTGTAACCACAGTCATGTACAAGTACTCTGAGGCTGTCTGCGCAAGTGCCAGAAAGCGCAGGAAGTGATCTCTTGCGGGTGTACGTCACTCATTGTTTACACAGAGATTTCAGAAGTGTTACCCTTCACTGTGAAGATCTAAACATATTTAGATATACAGGAAATTGCAATGGAAGATGATTTCGATATATCAAGACAACGTTGATTTTTTTTCGCAACCGCGCAAGAGATCACTTCCGGAGTTTTCCACCGCTTGTGCAGACCGAAGCGCCTGTGCCTTCAGATCACTTGGTTGTGGCTGTGGTTACAAGAGGTATAAATGATATAAATACTGTTCGTTTTCTCACACAAACCGCTCGTTTCGTGTCTTAGGCCATCAGTGTGTACAGTACTTACATTTACGAGTCATTAATTCATGTTTAATTTGGACTTCTCTGTGCATGCTCTTTGAGGTGGACCCCATTTACCTCCATTATATGACTGACAGACAAGAACGGTTTGACCTAAAAATATCAAAATTGAAATTACTGTGTAAACAAAGACACCTACATCTTGGATGCCCTTGAGGTAAGCTAAAACATATCAAAAATTAATTTCAAAGTGAACTATCCCTTTAAGAGTAAGTTGACTCATTCAAATGTGTTCACAAGCTATGTTTGGAATGACATACTAGCATACTGCACACACTAGGCATTGTAATGCCTATATTCTTGAAAATCAAATGCATTATGAAACACTTTATTTTTAGACAGTCTGTTGCACCTACATGTCAACTAACTCTCATTAGAGTATTCGTTGAGTGTTAGTAGACTGGTAGGGTTAGTAGAATAAGGGGTTATATAAGTTGACGTACTTGCAAAGTTACTTAGTGAATAATGTTAGAGGAGCATCAAAATAAAGTTAAGCAGACAGTCTTCAAATATTCTAATGTAGGTGCAACATTACATTAGAGCATAAACTTAATTTTTTTTTTAAGTTGCATTCTAAATTGTTGAAGACAACTAGAAGTACAATTCACTTATCATATACTTTTATTGTGCATAATTATTTCAATTAAATGTTAATGTATTCAAAGCACACACACAGTATGCATATATTATATTATATAATACTACTATACTATAAACTAGAAATATGTTGTCTTCTAGAAGTATGGTAGTATGCTTATGCTATTCTGAACACAGCCCTTGATGAGTGACACTCACACATGGTGAGTTTGTGTATTACGAATTTTTAAGCCCTGTAAAACCATGCAAACACAACAAGGGAAAGAGTGGCCTGTTAATCAGAAATCTCATTTTCTTTCCTAAATCACCTTTAAACCCTGTTAGGTAGAACAAATGACGTTAAGGAGTTAATCATGTGGCTTCATAAAAGAGGAAAATTCGCCAGTTGTTGGGGGTGTACATACATTTGCCAAAATCAGTGGATGCATTTCTTTGCCTTTTATAGTGCACACGGTCTGCCAATTTAGTTTTGTTGAAAGTGTGATTTACAAAATGTGTTCATATGCTCAGCAGTGACTGAAAAATAAAACTGCATAGCATGGGGGGATTGTGGGTATTATCTGCGGTGGATTATAGTAAATGTGCAGTGTAAAGAGACTTGTGGAATGAGTATTGCTATTGTTGTACAGGATCATCAGTGCATCTGTCACATTGTATGTGTATTCCTGCTTAAATTGTACAAATACTATTGATATATATATACAACTGTATAAAAGTTTGGGGTCAATAAGATTTTTTTTTAATTAAATGAATACTTTTATTCAGCAGTGAATTAAATTGATCAAAAGTGATGGTAAAGTCATTTATAAATTTACATTTTCAAAAAATACAAAAAATGTATTTGAACATTCTAGACTGATTTCGGAAGGATCAATGATGCTGAAAATTCAGCTTTGCCATCCCAGGAATAAATTACATTTTAAAATATACAAATATATTAAGCACATTTTACAATTGCTTCATATTTTTAGTTTTTACTATTTTTTTTATCAAATAAACTCAGCCCTTTAGAGCCCGAGACTTTCAAAAATCATTCCGACCCCAAAATTTTGAATGATAGTGTATATGTATATATACAATCATTGAAATTTCTTCATAATAAATGTGAATTTCATAAGGCAGGAGTTTAAATTGCAATCAAAGACCACGTTTTTTTTTTTGTTGTTGTTTTTTCAGCGTTCCCATAAGTCTCCACAGTCCATGGAAACAGCCCTACTGCATGTTCACGGTAACGATAACAATCACAGGATGACATTCTGAAAAGCACTCCATAATTTTCACACCCTTTTGAGCAGAACACTGATTCATATCTATGAATCATAAATAGACTCGAGACACTGTGTATCCTGTGATGTACAAATCTGTGCCCCAAGGAGCTACAAGTGGTGAACTATATCTGTAATCATCAAATAAATAGCTCGTTAAAATGAAAATTCGTCATTATTAACTCACCCTGATGTCGTTCCAAACCTCACACAATGTAAGTTCATAGAGACCAGAGGCCCCAAATAGCACAAAATGACGATTTTAAGGATGATGAAAATGATTACTTTAATTTTGGGTGAACCGTCCTTTATAGTTGTCTCGTTTGTCAGCAGGAATGAATATGGCACCATCTGTAAGCAGATATAGCATCGAATCATACAATTCCCTGCTCTAACCCTCCATTATACAACTGTCTCTTTCTGCCCCATATAAACACAGCTGTCAAAGCCCAAATGAGAACAACAAAAAGTGACAGAGGAAATGAGGGCAATTTGTGTTCTATATAGCATCACTTGACAGGAAATTCAGATCAAAAAGTCTTCATAACCTTGGGCTGTGAAGAAGGATGTTCTGAAAATATCTCCAGCTGATGTGATAGTAGTAGCTCCGCGTGATATAAACATTCAGCCGGCATTCATTGTTTTTTTTTAAAAAAAATCCCGTGGTGGGAATAAGCCCCATGCTGGTCTGTTTAACCAGGGCGGATGACTCTTCCATGATTCACGCGGAAGGTGGGTGTCCACACTCTGAGTGGTACACAAAAATAGATTAAAAGGATTGTGTAAGCGCGTAAGTAACCACGGAAACAAGGAACAGAAAGGTGGAGCAGAGGCCATCCTCAAGGTTAGGAGTCTTAGAGCCTGCCGTGCCTGAATTAAATGTCAAATAATCCGTTAATGAGAATTGGTTAATGAGCCCGAAGTTTACAAGTGACAGTAATTCACCAGAATTGTGCTGGATTATGGGCATTAGGGATGTTTGGGGTCACTGCTGCATTACAGAGAACCGAATTTAACATGTGCAAGAGAGTCAAACTCCAGAGGTGGGTGTAATTTGACAACCAGTGACTGTGCCACTTAAAAACCACATTGGAGTTCTGTGATTTTTTGTTCACGCTTATTAGCTGTAAGGTCGTGTACTGCTAAAAAAAAATCACTTTTAACAGAACCAGTAGCTTTTTTTGCATTCTTTTCTTCAGGAAAAGCTGAGCAAAGTATTGATGACTCATCCTGCACACACAAATTGTTGTCCAATCATATGCCCCTCCCCTTTATACCCTTAGGGGCCGTTCACACAGAACTCGCTTTTCTATTCGCTTGATGGAGGGCGAGCCATGTCCAAAGCTTGGTGCTGATGTAACCGTCATATAGTGACAACTGCCGATCTCAATACTTCCAGCTTGGACTGCAATGTGTAGGGTATTTGTGTAAAGGCAATCTGATTGGCTGACAATAAAGCTGATGCTAGAAAAGTTGAACATTTTCAACTTTTGCTGCAAGCAACGTCAATACACAATGGAACTTAAAATTCAGATTGGCAATACATGGCGTCACCCATTCAAAGCAAATGAGAAGCATTACAGTAGTTGTAGGAAATTGTGGCTGACTATTGTTACAAATTTAAACCTAGCTAGGTTTGATGTTGTGGTGAAACAGAAGGAGTGACAAAAAGATATTGGGATATTGATTATATTCATTGATTGCTGATTGGATGGATGGAGGCAAATCTGAATGTCAGCAGCCAAGTCTTACTTAAAGGGATACTCCACTTTTTTTGGAAATAGACTCATTTTACCACTCCCCCAGAGTTAAACATTTGAGTTTTACCGTTTTCGAATCCATTCAGCCGATTTTCTGATATTTAGAAGAATATCAGCAACCAGACAGTTTTTGGTCTCATTGACTTCCATAGTATATTTTTTTCCTACTATGGAAGTCAATGAGACCAGAAACTGTCCAGTTACTGATATTCTTCTAAATATCAGAAAATCAGCTGAATGGACTCAAAAACGGGAAGACTCTACTGTTTAACTCTTGGGGAGTTGTAAAATTAGCCTATTTCAAAAAAAGTGGAGTATCCCTTTAAAGCAGTTGAGGGCTGCTGGATGGTGATTGTTAATGGACGCGCACGCTTGGGTTGTTATTCACTGCATTGTCGACACACAAGTCAATATCCTTAGATGTAGATTTATCCAACAAGAATCCAACAAACAGTCAATAAATCCACAGTTCTTCACCAGTACAGATTTCATACTGCACAGAATGGCATAGCATAGCGTAGTGTAGCGTGTAGAGTATGAATGAAGAGTCATGGATTCACTAAGTCTGAACGCTGCACACATTCTTATGAATGGTTTCTAAAGCCCACAACCTACAACCTCCTCCAATCTAAATCACCAGCCAGCGCCAGCAAGTCTGCAGTTTAAATT